CCCGCCGCCGCGTCCCCACCGCCCCCGCCTCGGCGCCGGCGCGAGCGCCCGTCGGAGATGAAGAAGGCGTCCATGGAGTAGCTGTCGGTCACGGCCGCCTCCCCGCGAAAGTAGCGCGCCGACAGGCTCGACTGCGGGCTCTCGGGGTCGCTGTATTCCTCGGGCGCCACCGGCGGGTAGGCGGGCTCGGAGGGCGCCAGCTCCAGGCCTGGCTTCTGGTCGGCGGCATCGTAGCTGCTGGGCGGCAGGCAGTGCGGAACATAGCCTGGGAGGGCAACGAGGGCACGGTGGTGAGGAGCAGGCCCGGGGGAGGCTGCCTGGGGCGCGCGCTGCCCACCTCCCCACCACCTCCCCAGTTTGGCAATGGTGGCCGCTCCTTGGGCCTGCCACCCACAGGCCTCTGGACCCTTATGGCCAGCTGGCCGGGTTCGCATCCTCCCCAGCTACGACAAACTGCCGTGTCAGTCCTTGCAGCCCTGGCTTTACCTACTCTTAGGTACGTACAGCCGTGCAGTGAAGGTATTGTTATGATACTCTTTGTGGATGGGGAAGCCGAGGCACAGACGGCCGCCCAATCTGTCTAAGCTTACAGCAGTTGAGTAATGGAACTGAGATTAAAATCTTGGCCCATCTTTCCTTCCAAGCATATTCTGCTTACTTTTTTTTTTTTTGTCGTGGGGCTTGAACTCAAGACGTGGGCACTGTCCCTGCGCTTTTTCACTCAAGACTAGCACTTTCCTCCTGAGTAGCTAGGATTGCAGGTGTGAGCCAGCCCCACTATGTCTGTCTTCCCAGTTTACTGGAGAGGTTGAAACAGGAGTTATCACATGAATCCAGGAGATCAAGGCCAGCCTGGGTAACACAGCAAAATCCTGTCTTAAAAATAACTTTTTTTTTTGGAGGTGCATGCCTACCATCTCAGCACTAGGGAAGATGAGGCAGGCAGATGGTGCATTCCAGGCTAACCTGGGCTACATAGCAAGACCCTAAATATGGAGATGATCTCAAAATAAAACCAACTAAGTAGATAAGCCAACAAAAGTAAATAATTCAAACTTTTTTTTAAAGTAGTTTGAGGGCTGGGAAGGTGGCTCAGTGGTAGAGTGCTTGCTTCACATGCATGAGGCCCTGGGTTCGATTCCTCAGCACCACATAAACAGAAAAGGTTGGAAGTGGCACTGTGGCTCAAGTAGTAGAGCACTCGCCTTGAGCTGAAGAGCTGAGGGACAGCACCCAGGCCCAGAGTTCAAGCCTCAGGACTGAAAAAAAAAAAGGAGTTTGAATATTCCCTCTCAGGGTCATTGGGTGAAGCTATAAAGACATGGTGTTAAAGTAGTACTGTACTATGCTGTTACTGTATCAAGGCTATGCCTGGGTTCTATGCCCAGGTGGACACATACACTAGTCATGAGAAGTAGCTACTACTGCCAGTCTGTTTAATCTGTGAGGAAATAGAGAAAAAGCCAGGGGGGAGCACACTATAATTGTGATAAACATGTTAGCTGTTATAATTATTGCTTGTAAGTGATTTTGGTGAAGCATATTTAATTGTCTGCTTTCCCTAGCTACACTTTTGAGTTCTGGGGCTGGGTCTGTGTGCCTAGCTGGCCTGGGTCACAGCAGATGTGGGATAAGTAGATATTGCAAAGATGAACCACAGTCCACCTCGCCCAGCTCTCTGCCTCCAAGGGTTGCTGGAGAAGTTCAAAGGTCAAGAGCTTGGCATGTAATAGCTGCTTCTGAAAGGCAGCTTCCGCCTACTTTCTCCCAAGCCTGGCTCTTGTGCAAGCCTTTTCCAGTCCCCAGTAAGAATGGGCCTCCCCCTCCCCCTCCCCCTCCTACTTAGCTGCAGTTGGGCCAGAAATCCCTTCTGTCATGCTTTGAATGATTGGTACGTGGGCAGGCAGGCTGTCCCAGGGGATTCCATAAGGGCTTCTAGAGGGCAAGGGCTACCTCATCTGTCTTTGCCTCCCTTAGCCTCTCCTGGTCCCAGCACCTTCCCTGGAGACCTTGGGGGCTAGGCTCCTGGGAGAGAGTTCCTGGCAGACATTGAACAAACTTATCATCCTGGCACTTAATTACCAAGTGTTTCCATTGTCCTTTGATTCTGGAGAACAATGGAGGTTAGGCCCTTTACCGAGGTTTTGCAGCTGGGGAATAGCAAAGTGCCATTGCCCTTCTCCATCTGACCCCTGAGCCATGTTACCCCCTCCCCCTGCTGTGAGGTGAGCAGGGGGAAGCTTGGGGAGTCAGGCAGTAGGCAGGACATACTGGTCACCCTGCATTCCCTCAAACCTGGCCAACCCAGCCTCCAGGCCCTTGCCTCTCCTCTGGCGTTCGGGACAGTCACGGGGTGAAGTCTGTCCCCTGACACCCAAGGCCACAGTGTGCCCTTGCTTCTCCCTCTGCTGCAGCTGCAGCTGGCTCAGCACCCTCTGCACACAGAGGGCTGGGCAATCTGATGACCAGTTTGGTAGCAGAGGGCTCTGTGGTCAGAGGCCAAGGGAACAGCAGCGGTGGCATTTTTTTTTAAGTCTGGGGAGGGGTGCCTGGCCTCTCAACACCCTATCTCACCTCCCATACCCCTTGATTCTGGAAGACCCCACCCTCCCCAGACCAGAAACCAACCAGCCTGGTGCTAAACTGTGAATGTCCAGGGAGCATTGCTTTGGACTGAGTTCACTGCCTGGTGCCCCCACCAGCTGTACTCCTCCCCCCACCCCCCATCTTCTCACTGAATCATCACAAGAGTCACTTATTTCAGAGAAGATGACTGAGGTCCAGTGGTGATGCTCAGAGGTAGAGCAAGGATTGTGAACTCCCAGGGGTCCCTGGGGACAGGGAAGGGGGCCATGTGGGGCTGCCTCCTCCTGTCTCCAGGGCCCCATTCACTAAAGTGATTGTTGAGCCAGTGATGGCGATTCACCAGCCATCCTCATCTGCCAGCTGACCAGGCTCCGCTGTAGGAGCTCCTGTCTGCCTGCTCTGTGGGACAGACAGGTGGGCACGTGGGACAGACAGGTGGGCATGTGGTCCAGGCCATGGAAGGGAAAAGGATTTGATACCCCACCACAGATTCTAGCTCAATGACTTTGGGAAAGTCATCTATCATTCTGTACCTTGGGTCCTATTTTGTTTTCCTGGAAATGAAAGTATGCAATCATGGGACAGGTCACTGCCACATGACCCGTGCTTTGTACTGTTACTAAAGAACAGTGACATATTGGTTAAAAGCATAACTTTGGTGCCAGATTGTCCCCCACCAGTCCTAGCTACACGGCCTTGGCCATTGGTCTTTCCTTCCCTCCCTCCTTCTCTTTCCTTCCCTTTCTGATCCTGGGGCTTGAACTCAGGTCTTGGCTGGGCACTGTCTCTGAGCCTCTTTGTGCTCATGGCTAGACTACTTGAACCATGGCTCTACTTCTGGCTTTTTGGTAGTTAATTGGAGATAAGAGTCTCACAAACTTTCCTTTCTGGGCTGGCCTAAAACTGTAATTCTCAGATCTCAGCCTCTTGACTAGCTAAGGTTATGGATGTGAGCCCTGATACCTGGCTTTATCCTCTCTTCCTCCTTTTCTCCTTCCCTCCCTCCACCCCTTCCTTCCTTATTTTTATCCTCAGTGCTGGGGATGGAAGCCAGGGCTTCATGTGTATGAGGCAAGGGCTCAAGCACTGAACTATATCCTTGGCCCATAACTGTGACTTCAGACAAAAGATTTAACTTCTGTGCCACTACCCCACTTTTCAGATGAGGACACCAGAGCCTGGGTCCTGCAGAAGGTAAGCCTAAGCCAGGATTTTTTTTTGGGGGGGGGGTCTGGTCGTGGGGTCTGAACTCTGGGCCTGGGTGCTGAGCTCTTCAGCTCAAGGCTAGTGCTCTACCACTTGAGCCACAGCGCCACTTCCGGCTTTTTTCTGCTTATGTGGTGCTGAGGAACCGAACCCAGGGTCTCATGCATGCAAGGCAAGCACTCTACCACTGAGCCACCTTCCCAGCCCCTGAGTCAGGATTTTGTAAAAGCCCCACCGTGGTAATACATGTTGGCTGTTCTGACCAACAGGTTCTGTGCTGCAGTTCTCTTGGCGTCTGCCTGGCATATCTTTCTCTTTCCTTTCTGGGCCTGTTTCCTCATCAGGATGTGTGATTTCCTCATCCTGTTCTGGGAGAAAACTGGTGCACAGCAGGCAGCCCTTGCTGGAGTGTGCATTCTGCTGTTGGTGCCATCTGCTGGTAGCCAGCAGCACTGCATCACCTCAAACTGGACGCTGGAAGCTTTCTATACAAATTGGTGTGCCTTAAACAAGGACTATTCATTTGCTTTAGAGATGCATGTGGAATTTCTTCCAGAACAGGCATTGCTGGTGCAGACCTGATGCCTAGTGGATGTAAGTTGGACATTATTGAGAGTCACGAATGACTTTTTTTTTTTTGTCGGCTGTGGGGCTTGAACTCTGGGTTTGGTGCTAACCGTGGGCTCTTCAGCTCAAGGCGAGTGCTCTACCGCTTGAGCCACAGCACCACTTCTGGTTTTCTAGTGGTTTATTAGAGTTAAGAGTCTCACGGATTTTCCTGCCCAGGCTGGCTTTGAACTGCAATCTTCAGATCTCAGCCTCTGGAATAGCTAGGATTACAGGGGGAGCCACTGGCGCCTGGCTGAATGACAGTTTTTATGGTCATGCTAGGATTAGGTACCTTCCTTTGTGATAGTGGCCAGGTTGCTTAACCCCTCTTGGCTCAGTATGTACAAGAAGAAGGTTGACCCTGTGCATCATGGATGAATTGGTGTTTCTCTCTACTGCTCTTTGTGGCCTCCATTCCTTGCTTATCCAGTTCTGCCCTGTGTGTCCTCAGGCAAGTGATTCAACCTCTGCTTGCCACATCTGAAGAAGGGAGTCCCTAAAAACACTGGATGAATTGATGCGTGTAAATGTTTACCTGATACCAGGCACACAATTGGTAGCTTCTTGAGCTGTTACTATCATTGTTGTCATTATTATCTTGACATTTTTTGGTGATTCAGAAATATAGACAGGTCTCTTGGGCAAGCCACCTCCCCTCTCTGGGACTCAACCCTGGAGAATCCTATAGGACACCCTATGCATGGAACTCAGACAGGTTTGAAGTGTTCCTTTGCCTCCAGGATGATGGCTGAACTACTTGTCCTCCAGCTGACAAGTGGAGACAGGTCTCTTTTGTCCTGAGTCCCACAAAGACAGGGAGGAACTGGGACCCTGGCAAGGTGACCTTGGGCAGGTTGTACTGCC